ACATACAGCAGCTGTGCTAAATTTTAAACAGGGTCACGATTTGTTTCTGATTTATTTTAATTATTGCACCTAAAGATATATTTAACACACACCCCCCCCACCCCCCCCCCCATCTAGTGGCACAAAGGTTGGTTATTTCCAAAATTAGAGGCTTTTGGCAATAATGGGAAATTGAGTCATTTTTTCTGTCCTTTTACAGCATTTTTTTATTTTGTTTTCATTTAAGGAGCACTGTAGAGATACCAATCTTACTAAAACAGTATATACAAATCCCTGTTCCTGTGCTACTGATAAGACACTAAGTGCTAAGTCCTGCAAAAATGTACTCGCAGGAACTGGCCTCTCTTTTCAGAAGTCACAGATGATTTTGTTTACCTCCCTTTTTCAGTCAATCACCAGTGTTAACAAATGGGGCTAGATTTAAAAAACTTCAGACACCTGCTTTTGCAAAACTCTGTGCTGCCTGAGACACCACAACTTCTCCAATTCCTAGAGCACCCAATACTCCTGATCGCTTTGAAAACCTTGTTGCAGTCCTTGCTTGAATTTAACATGCAGGCTGTGCAGAATGCTGCGCCATGCTGACGTACCTGGACTACTTGGGGGTCTGGAAGTACCACACTTGTGCTATCCTAATGGTCTGCCCTGACTAATTAGTCCTAAGCGACCCCTGCTGAGCCACTCAAGATGCTTTCTTAGTGGTCTCCATATGTAAGTAAGCATCACCACATGGTTTCTCATCCTGCAAGTGCTTCTTCCACCTCCAGTGGAGGCTCCATGAAAAACACTATTAATTAACCTGGTGGTGTGGTAAACAGCCAAGAAAGAAAGCGGACGGCCAGAACATATGCACGAGACTACCAGCTGTGATCCTTGACTGGCTCCCTTGCTTTTGGTAGCCATGTAAGTGAACCTAGAGTTTGGGTATCTTGCTGACTTAGGATACATTAATCCTCTCTTTCTGTGTCATGACATGTAAACTCTGGTCTTGGGATGCTGGCACTTGAGGAAATCTGGTATCAAGAAAGGTATGTTCTTTCGTTAAAATATAGTTGGGGGAGGCATAAAAAGGCCATTTTCATGGCCTTTGTGGCACCATGGAGCCTCAGGTAGTCTGAAAAGTTGGATTTGGAATAAATGATAATACACATTTATTCACCTATTGGAATTTGTGGAAAATTTTATGTAACGTTCAGTGTGGACTAAGGCTGAAATGAAAACTGGAACTTTGCAATTGGATTTGTACGTAGGAAAGAAGCAAAGCTAAATGAAGTGTTGGAGGGTCTAGGTCCTTCTTGGGGAAGGGTTGAGGGATGAGTTTCAGATATGAGCTCATTCTAAAAGAGAGATTTGGGAAGATCTGCCCTAATTTGTAGCTTTGTAATCCCTGCACTGGGCCCACCTGTTTGACAAGTGAAAATATTGCATTAATGAAGTTCCAGCCAGCTTCTTAAATCCATCCTTGTGACTGTCTTTATTAATCTCTGTGTCCTGGTAGATTATGATTATTTTTATATATGTGAGTAATCTCATTGAAATCTAAGAGTTACTAATGGTAGCATGATAGATGAGTGTTGCTTGGGCCTTTAATCCATTACTGAAACTGAAAGCTGTTTATAGATTTTTGTAATACTTAAGTTTTGCTTAGCATGGACAACTAAAAGCAAGTATCTTAACTTCTTTAACTGGCTTCCTTTTTTCTTTTTCTTTTTTTTTTTTTAATCGTTCCACATGCCTGCAATAGTTTAAATTACAGAACACCAAATCAACATTTAATTTAATCAGCATTTCCTGTTTCTTTCAGATTTTGTACCCACCTTCTACTAAAAATAAATACATTCCTTATTTAGTTAATAGGGCCTAAATGTGGGATCCAAACTACATTTAAGACTAGCAGTTACTCTGCTGAAACACAACTCATCATTTAGTTTGAGGAACCAGTTATACTGGATAGAGACCTATATCCAGGGACACAACAGCAGCATGTTTTATATTTTGTAGAAAGTTATTTTGGATGTCTTTTTGAAATATCATACCTGGGATTTTCTCTTGCCTCTGGGGCAAAGGAGACAGGACCTGCATAGAAGCATATTGCTTCAATTTAAGTAGCAGAGGCTTTTCCTGCTACCAGAAATCAGAGCAAATATCACCCTGATTTTATTATGGGGAAGCAGATAAGCCATGCTGAATGTAGAAGACGAGAGCGATACTTTGGCTGATTAGGACCCCACAAGGGTGTTCTTGTGCTGATGCACTCTGATACAAAAAACAGATGTTTGTGAGTTCCTAAGTGATTTCTTCATTTTGATATGGCTTTAAGGTTATCACAGTACCTCCTTAATTGGATTACTTTGGCACAAAGGTAATATTGGTTTATAGGGCTCAGGCTTTGTTCTTCAATGCTGTAATTTATACCTCTGAAAGGTAGCAATAAAACACTTCCATATGAGAAAGGCAGGATTTTACACCAGCTCCTGTGAAAATGAGTGCTCCAGGTTGCAATGTAGTAGAACACTGGAGCGCTCTGAATTTTCTAGGAGGATGAGGCAAGAAGGCACACACAGTCACTCGTGAAGAGTGGTACTGAAGGGATGAAGCCAGGGAGAGCTGGCACCAGATCAGCCCCGTGCGAGCAAAGAGATCTGCTTGTGTGTTTTTATCTTATGGAGTCATGCTTAAAATGGCGATTGCTGAACCTGTGGTATAGGGCTGGGGTCAGTTCAGTGAAAGCGGACCTGTGTATAAACCACGTTCACTAAGCGTGCTGCTCACTCTAAAGGAGAGGCAATACCTATTGTTTAAACACAATCACGTTCCATGAAGACTGGAAGAGAACCAGGCTCAAGCCATGCCTGGATGGGGCTTTGAGCAACCTGGTCCAGTGGAAAGGGTTGGAACTAGATGATTTATAAGGTCCCTTACAACCTAAACCATTCTATAATTCCCTGGTATTGGGAAACTGAAAGTTAGCCAAAGCTTTGCAAATTTCTGGTTTAAAACAGGCAGCAGTTTTTTGCACAGGAGACTAACTTTCATTGGGTAAGTCGTGCCAAAAATTTTCTTTTGTGCTTTCTTTAGTTATTCAGGGTGGAAAAGTGGCTTGAATCTGTGCTGCCAGCTGTGTCCAGCCTGTGTATACTAACATTTAACATCCTGTGCTCTCAAATATGCAGGGCTAAATAAGGGCATGTCTTTAGTTTTGACTCAAAAGCATCTGGTTGACTGAAATTTTTGAAATGAGCAAATGTAGAAATGGTAACATCCTTTATATAAAGATATATATCTCAAAAGGTAGAATGAATCCTCAGTAACAAATCGTAGAAATCAAATTATTATTGGCCTTAACAATTATTGTTTTAAAGTGTTTGGAAACAGAATGATAGAGTTCTTGAGGGATGAAATATTGCCATTATTTAAGAGAAACTCAAATGCAGCCAGTACCAGTCTAATGGGGCTTTTTTTTTTTCCCCTTGTAATTCTCTTTTCCACTGAACACCTTAATCCTATTGTAGTAGTAGAAAAATACAACTCCTGTGGAGAGCATAATACAATCTCACACCATTGTGCTTTTGATCTTCAATAAAATGCACCCGCATTTGGCTTTTTCTCTTCACTACAGATTAGTTTCGGACCCAACTACTGTAATTCCTTTCTTGTGTTGAACTGCAAGGAACTTCATCATGATTGTAAAAGTTGGCATAAAGCAAGAAGTGAAGGGGGGGCTGGAGGGAATGAAAAAATTGGGTGGGAATTGTATCAACAGAAAAGAGATCTGAAAGTTGTGGGGAGGGGACACATTCCCCTATCAGCCTACCACAGAGAAGTCTGGCTGTAGGTCCTGAGGCTTGAGATTACCTGAGAGTGAGTGGAGCTCCACGGCCAATGTATTTCCTTACCTGTGCCAGCACTGGGGCTGCCAGCCATGAGACTGGAGGGTTGCATGAGCAGGCATGGACTGAGGACTTGTGACTTTGGTTATCACTGTGAGATCTTGGACAGAATTTGGTGACTGGAGCAGTGCAGGGTAAAACTCTTGCCATTCAGCATGTGGTCATCTTTCTCAATGTCTGAATTTGATCCAGATGAGGCAAGCTTGAGTGGTTTGGGGTATTTTGGGGATACAACTGGGCCATGGGGCACTACACATCTGGCCTGCTTGGCTCACTACAGGTCCTGAAAGCCACACTGCCTCCCTGGCACCCCAAGCTCATGCTGCATCAGAAATGCTGCTGCTGAGCTTGGTACTCCCATTCCTTTCCCAGGCTGGCTTCTTCTCCGGTAAGAGAAGTTTCGGGGCCAGCTGGGAGCACAGACGCTTGCACCTTTACATCACTGGCCATTCTCCCGCCAGGCAGCCGTGCCTTAGCTCTGCACTGCTCCCATCCCACCCACAGGACGCCCGTGGGAGTTCCTGCCACAGAGGTAGGGAGGAAGCCAAGAAAGAAACACTCCTCCACCTCTCTTTTTTTTTTTTTTTTTTTTGTGGTGTTTGTCCTTTTTCCCATCAGGGTTACCACCCTCTCTCCCCACTCCTACGGGGAGGGCTGAAGTCTCACTGACTCAGCAATTGTGACTATTATCTGTGCTCTTAATGGTTTGCATCTTTTTGCATCAAAGGGTAAAATTACTTAGGGACGCGCACACACACTGAAAAGATCATATACAAAAATGCATCCAAGCAGAAAAAAAAACCCGGTTGTAATGCTCATGAATTCCAGATGATGACTTTTTAAATCCCCGAGAAGGCAGAGAAATTGTTTGATTGTTCTTGTTAATTATAGGACTTGTCCCAGTATCAAATATTTGTAGAAGATAAGACTTCCCTCGTGGAGATGAATAATAACCGAACTTGCTCTTCTTTGAGCCGTTTGGCTTCGTGCTGCGTTTCCCACTCCGAGGGGCACACCCCGCCTAAGCCGGCTGCACCGCTCCACAGCAGCACGTGTACGAACCTCTCCATTAAAAAAAGACCCCGTAAGTAAACAAGAGAGAGAAACCTCTTACTTGCAGAGCGTGACTTTATTAGCAGCAGCACCGGCGGGCTCCCCCTTGCCTGTCCCCAGGCTGCGGCGGCCGGTTTCACCGCTTCTTCCCCCCGCGCCCGGGAACCGCGGTGCTTGCTCCCGGTCAGCTGTATGAAGTACAGGCAGAGCAAAGGGCTGCCGAGAGAACACAATCCACCTTCCTCCAACCCCAAACCCACGGACGTACCCCAGCCCGTACGCGGAGCCCCGTGACCCACCAGCCAGGTCCCCGCGGGGCCAGCCCGGGACACGACTGCGCTCAGCCGAGCGAGGAGCGGCGGGGGGGTGCTGGCGGAGATGATGATGATGAGGTAACCGGGGGGTCCGGGGCAAAGCCGGGCTGCGGGGCCAGGCGCAACGCTTGCTCCCCGCCTGCCTGGGGGAGCGGTGACACGGCGGGTGCTGCCCGGCCCGTCCGTCCTGGGACCCCGTCTCAGGCCGCCCGCGCTGAGGTAACCCTGCTGGCGGGACGGCACCGGCGGCGGCGAAGCGGCTTTTTGGGGCGGTGCCTGGTCATCGGCCCCGGGGAGAGCTCGCGGGAGACCCCAAACTTCTGCTTCCCCGTCGTGCGCCCGGGAGGGGGTCACCGAAATGAGGAGAGGGGTGGCTGAAGGGTGCGGCGGGCGGCTGTGTGTGTGCGCGGTCGCACCGGTGTGATAGGGGCTGACGGTGCGGGAGGTGCTAACGGGCACGCACACGGACACGCAACTCTCGGCTGTTTACTCCTAGCGGAGAGCGGGACGGGGACTGCCTGCCTCTCGGGAGGAAAACGGTAGCGGCGTCCCTGGGACCCACGGCAGCCCCGCTCGGTGAAGAAGTTGCCAGGCTGAACAAGAGGCGGAAAGGGCTCGGTGCCCGCCGCCGCTTTCCCGTGCAACCGGGGCACAGCCGCCCCCTTTTCTCCCCACCCGAGGGACGGTGAGGATGATGATGGTGGCGGCGATGGCTGTTGGGGCGGGCGCGTCACTTACCGTTATCAGCCCCGCCGCAGCCGCAGGGCCGCCCCGGTGCGCGGCCGGCGGGCAGGAGCTTGGGACTGCTCTGAGGAGACTCCCCGCGCAGCCCCCTCCCCGCGGCCGCCACCTCGTCTTCTTCCTCTGCCTCCTGCTCCTGCTTCTGCCAGGGTGCCGGCGGCGGCCAGGCGCGGCGAGCCTCTCCTCCCCCATTGTTCCTGGTCTCCCTCTCCCTCTCGTGTTCTTTTTTTTTTTTTCCTTTTGTTATTTGCACTCGCATTGTGTTGTTTGTCTCTGAAGCCGCCTCATGACCACTAAAGGGATTTCACCTCGTCCTTGAGAGACAAGAGAGAAGGGGGAAGGGGGGGAAGGAGGGGAGAAGAGAAAGGAAGAGATCACCAAACACCCATCTCCCGGTCCCTCCCCGCACCTCTGCCTCTCCCCACCCCACCAGTGTCTCACTTAGCACCCCGCGCCCGGAGGAGACATTGCAGTTAGCGGGTAGGTGCCCGTCGGCCGCTGGTCTAACTTTCGCCGGCGGGCGCTCAGCGCCCCGCGGGGCTCCCCGGGCGGCGGGGGGACGGCGGGCGGGCGGACGGGCTGGCGAGACCCGGCGAGGGGCAGCGCGGAGGGGCGGGCTCCGGTGGCGGGGCCGGCTGTCAGCGCGGCCGGCTTCCTCCCGGGCGCTCGTACACCTCCCGAAGTTTGGCACAACTTGTCACGCCCCCCCCCTTCCTCCTCCTCCTCCTCCTCCTGCTGCCGCCGGCGGGGCTGGGGGCGGGCCGGCCGCGGTGCCCACGCCTGTGTGGTGTGGCGGGGAGTCGCTGCTCCGCGCCCTGCCCAGGCATGGCTCAGCCCTCGGGATCCCGGCGGACAGGAAGCTTTAAATTATTGTAATTGCCTCTCCGTGCGTGCGTGCGTGAGTGCCGAGCGGCGGCCGCCGTCCGCGCCGCTCTAGGGGAGGCGAGCCGCGGGGCGCGGGGGGCACCGGTGGGCACCGGGGAACGGGGGGCACCGGGAGGGGCTGTTCACATGTTTCTACGAGGCGTGTGCCTCGCTTCTGCTGGAGTCCGAGGGTGACTCAGTGGTAGGGCGCTGCAGGCTGGGTTCACCCGTTTCGTCTGCTTTCCCCTCAAAGAGAAGACGGGTCGGGGAAAAATGATGTACCGGTCAGGCTGGGGAGCGCGGCCGCGCTCGTCCCCGCCGGCGCCCGGTCGAGCTGGCCAAGGCACCGGTGATGGGAGGGATCTGTGCCTTCTCAGAAAAGTTAAGGGACTTTGTTCCAGCCCTCCTAAGATCCTAGAATAACCGGAGTCCCTTGCCGGGAGGAACGTGATCGGCTTTTCCCTAGGGATGGCATGCTGCCTCAGCCCTGTACTTTGGTCAAGGGTAGAACCAATAGCAGGCTGTGGGATTTTGGGTAATAAGTGTGGGAATCTGCAAGAAGAGTAGGTCTAAGAGTGATTTGTTTTCTTACTGCTCATGAATAATGGCCTCTAGCTTTATTTATTTATTATTTTTTTTTAAACCAGCAGGCCAATGAAATAGGCACGTGGGAGATTTGTAGGCGTTCAACATCGCGATCATCAGCAACAGCAACAATACAGTAGGGGCGTCCAGGAGGAGGGTGTCTGAGCACAACTATTTTCTTTGAGACGCTAGTCTCGCACGCTGGTGCAGGTAGCTTTTCTTATCGTTAATGCTACCGCTTAACTCTCGTAAGGGGAAAACCAACACCATCCTAAAATTAGAGAAGATTTTCTTATTCTTTTTTTCATCCTTTTTTTTTTTTTTTAATAGAGCTTCACATTGGTCCGTCTCTGTCAAATAATAGAATATTAACATTAGTTCAAATTAAAAAAGGAGGTTGAATTCCAGCTGTAGGACTGCAGGATAATGTGTCCTGGCTTTTCTCTTCCCAATTTAAATACAGCTAGCTGTCTGCAGCCTTGCTGAAGTGAGCCACTCAGATTAAAAAGCAGCTTCATATACATGAGGAGCTAGTACAAAGTTCTTCATCGAAATATTTTAACACCTGAAACTTACCTGAGAACAGCTACTTGTGTCTGCTGCTATTTTTATATCCTCTTAATCCTTCCCAGCACTGGAAAATACATTATTGCCTCAGAAACAAATTCTTCATCCTGCAAAATGCACTATTTACAACTATTAAACTGGGGTTGCAAGGGGAGATTTTTATTTCATTTTATTTTTAATTTAGCTGTATTATCTTGCTAGGTTACAGCCAGCTTTAGTTTACAAGGTTTCTCCAGTTGAAGAGGGAGAGGCTGGCATGGATCTGCTGCATTTTGCAACTGGATAGCATGTCTGTTCTGACATGATTGAAACACGAAAACCCAATGAGCACATAGCCATTATGCCTGGAAATGCGGCGGCAGAGCTTTCTGGTTGAACCTAAACTGTTTCAGTTGAGAGTTACACTGTAAGGAGTACAAGACTTGAAAGCTGCAAGTGTCTTATGTAAACAGATGGACATTTGAGATGTATTGACTGTTTTGAGTTAATTCAGTTAACATGTGGGTGCACATGTAGTTAATTTAGTATAAGTTTTTGTAAGCGATGGCAGCTAATACACGCTTTTCAGAGAGAAAATAAAAGCCTGTGAATTTTGTCTATATGTGCTGGAGCTCCAGCTGTAGAAGTGCTTAGGGACTATGATCGTGCTGATCTTGTAGTACCAGGTGAGACTTAACAGAGAGCTTACAGTTTTTTACTTCAGAATGCAGGTAGCTTGCGAATGAATTTTGAAATGATAAGGTACCCTTCTGAGGTCTCTGTGCTGAGAAAATACAAACATGCTTAAACATACATCTTGCTGCACTTTTATTGTATGTGCTGCTTGCCAAAACCAGTTAGGTTGAGCAATATCATTAAACTGTCAGATGTATTGTTTACAATGGGATAATTCTTCCATGTTCAGGGTGAAGAAACAGCAGTTTTCTGTTACTCATCATAAAAATGTACCATTGCGTTCCAAGAAGGTTTGCAAGTGGCGTAGCTAACTATCGCTGCATAAAGCATGGGAGGAGATTGAGACTTCTTGGCATCTCTGACAGTGCTGGTGTAATGCAACGTGTGTACAGGAGCTTTGTTTCTGCCTGCAGTTCATACTTACCCTGATATAAAACACTCTGATGTTGGCATATGGATACACCAAAAAACAGAGTGTTTGTTGAAAAATAAGAATTCGGCATTTAGGAGAAAGTAAATGAACAGTCCTTCTAAAAATACAACAGTATGCTAAAATATTGCCAAAGCGCTGCTCTGACGCTGTTGTAAGCTGTCATATTTTTTTGACCATTATAAATAGATTAGTATTATTATAAGGATTTTTTTCCTATTAGCAAAGAAGGTTTTTTCCTGTTTTCTACATCAGAATCCTTGCGTGTTCCCTGAACAGGCAGAGCTGTGCTTGCACTGAAGGCAGCAGGAGTGTTGCTGAGGAGGAAGTGGGCAGCTGGGCCTTACACCTTGAGAATGGCTCTTGGAAAGCCTAAAAGCCTCCTGTACTGTAAACCTGGAGGTTTTTTATAATGTTTTACTTAATTTTTTCCATTTTTTCAAGCGTTAGAGTTGGTCCAATTAATCACTTCTGATGTATTATGTAGTTAGGATCAGATCAAATTTGGTTTAGACAGTGAATTGAAGCCTGAAACAAGATCGAGCTCCTCTTTGGTGGCACTGAAGTGTTGAGGGCTTGTGGGAGTCTTCCTCCTATTTCATGGGGTGCTCAGACCCAATTAGGAGAATTCCTTTCAAACTTACAACCAAACTGGGAATTTCAAGCCATTTCTGTTTCTCTTTGTGAAATTTAGTAACAGATAAGAGCATTCAGGTCAAGATCAAAGCATTAGATTTGCATCCTACTGCTAGTCATGTTGCAGTAACACCTTTGGGCATTGTGTGGAGAGTGGAGGCTACAGGTAAAGTGGATTTTCCATGCCTTGTGTACAACCTGTTAAAGTAGCTCAAGGCCAAGTGCTGTTTGCTCCACTGATGGACATCCTAGATAAGTGTAAGATGATTATTCTTGCAGTATGTTTCCTCGTGTTTCTGGTCTCTTCAAGCACGTGGTGAACACACAGGCACAGGCACTTGCACAGTACATTCTGCATACATGAAGCGCATTGTCTGAACAAGTGTTTTTGTTGCTTACAGAGCACACATGCTTTCTAGGTGCACACGTTTCTAGGTGAGGAGAATATACGCTTCATGACAGCTTGAGGAGGGTCTCCTCTAACATTTCTAACATCTTTATTTTCTGTCTTCTCCAGCTTCTCCCTTTTGCTTTGAGCTGCAAGTGTAGATTGAAACTCAGGTAATACATAAGAGGATTCTTTAATCTTGGCTATTTTCAGAGGCACAAAGGACAATTACTTTCTCCTCCTACTAACCTCCTGCTGGCTTACTAGCTGCTTGGGAGGCTAGTGATTTTAAGAATGCTGCTTTACCCAGTGCATCAAATACAGAGCAAATCTTTGCTCACCAAGATCTCAGTTCCTACACCTCATGGTAACACCAAAAATTGAACTTGAGTGGCCCAGAGCGCCAGCTCCTACTGTGAAGACTCATACAAGCATCAGCACTTTTTAGAGTTAAATTTGATCCATTGGCCCTGAGCAGTGCTGACAATTGCCAGCTAAAAGACTCTTCAGTGAATTGTCCTTTAACAGAAGTCTTTATTTTTTTCTTTCCCCCATTTCCTGTTGTTCTTTTAAATAAAAAGAAATCCTGGTGACAAAGCTAAAGTGTATTCTGTGATTATTGTTTAAAGAAAAAGATTTACCTATCTTTCAAGGAAATGAATTGCCTGAAAATTGCAGGTCAGAGTTGTTTTATAAGGGCAGTATTCTTCACTGCTGCAATAATCTCAAAAAAAAAAAAAATCGCTAAGTTACACATTTATGTACAAGTATTTGATCCTTTGAATGGTCGTAGTTAAAATACATGGGAGAGTCTACACTGTATTAACACTGTACTAGTGTGATAAAGGACACTGAACGCTTAAACCTGTCTTTTTTTGTTTGTGAGCATGTCCTGAGAGAACTGGCCACTGCAATTTGATGACATTTTGTACCTTCTGCAAGGAATATAGTCTTACAGAACATCTTTTACAGAACATCATCCAACTAAAACCATATCCCATAGAGGAGTGATTTCCACTGTAGTCTCCTGGTCCCTGGCAGGGTGGTCCAGGTTTTACTTGAAATGAATGTAAAAGTCTTGGGAAAGCTGACAAAGTCTTGTTCAGTAGGGTTAGATTTGCTACATAAGGTTTGCATACATAGCATTTGCCTTTGCTAGTCAAAGCCTAGGGGGATGTTTACGGTACCCTGGAGTATTAGTAAAATTGTATTTAAGGTCCTGCTCTTAGTGGCAGTGATGTTAATGTATTTAATTTAAAACCAGATTTTCAGCACCGGCTTTTGGCTTAGGCAGGGTAAAAAGCAGGCTAGGACAGCAAAGAACTCGTGGGATAGGATGAAGCTGCCTGCTTACAGCTGGGCAATAAGGGCTCCTCCTGCTCCAAGAAGTTGCTTTGCCCATGCTTTTGAGGAGAGGTGACAAAACTGTGTTAAGCTTGCTCTGCTCAGAAGCATTGAGCTGACTCTGAAACAGGTGTAAATATGGCTTGCAGTATCTTCAGTTACTATAGGGGATAAGTGAATACAACAGGTTTAAATTTGATTCAGGTGCCATACTGTGTTTTGTAGCAGGCAGTCTGAAGACACATTTAATTAAACTGGTTCAATTCCTAAACTAGGATTATGGAGTCTACCTTTTACACTGCTATAAAATCCTTGTTGTATCAGTAAGCTTTCAGTGTAATGAAGGGCTGGGGGACACAGCTGCAATCCTCAGCTAACCAATTAACTGTTGAATAAGGATCTCAAAGTTAATTTTACAGTCAATTTTTTAAAAAAGAAAGCAAAATACCTGTTACATGGCTAAGTCAGTTTCTCTGCTCAGCGAATTGAAGAGTTGCTTTTCTTAGGTGGGAACACCATTTCAATGTCACAACCGACCTTCTAGTAGGAGATTAGTCCTAATGAACCGGGTTTATATTGAGAAAAGTTATGAAACCATTAGAGAAGAGAAGTAGAAAATTAATAGTTTTTGAGTGATTTCAGAGCAGACTGAATTGAAGGTAGATACTGACTTCTGCATGAAAGAATTGTTTACAAACACAAAGAAAATACTTATTCTGTAACTTATTCATCCTGAAAATCACATGCTGGTGGAGTCTCTCCTTCTCCACTGACTCTGGAAGGAGCCTGGGGATACTGGGGCTCCCAGGGAAAGGCAGCTGCTGTGGCTCTTTGTGTGCTGTCTTTACATGCGCATCCGGTAACATGTATCTGTGTTACCACTGAAATGAGATTGTTCCTTATGCTGTAGTATTAAAGATCATGCTTCTCATGCTAGAATATAGGCAAATGCATAAATAATAACAAGAAATGTAATATATGTGTCAATTACACTTCTGTTTAATAATAAATTGAATGCATCTGCTAGGAAGGGTATGCAAAATATATAAGAAGTATAATCAGTCACAGAAAAGTGAATGTGTTAACGCAATATACTGCTTTACGAATTCAAATCTGGAAGAAGAGTGTGTTTAGTAGGAGACACTGTGCTCTGTGCTGTGCTTCAGATTGATTTTATATTTGTAATTGTATGCAGGTGGCCACCAGAAGCAGGACAGTGTGATTCTGAGAAAACTAAGTGATCTGTTCTGATTCCTGGGAATGCAAGTTTGTTTAGTGGCACCATGGTGCATTAAGTGCGTTGTGGTTGAGATTAACAAATGTAGGACAGTTAATTAGCTCAAGCTTGCAAGTCATGCGTAGATTACTTGGTCAGTACATGCACAAATAGAGTGAGCTTTTTAGTTCTCGCTGAAACTTGTTGCTGAGATTGGTTTTGTGCCTCCTGCCAATAGAAAAGAGAGCTGGAACAGAAATGCTGAAGTACTTGTCAGTTCTGTAAAACAGTTTCCAATTGAAAACTGAAATTATATATAATGAGGCATTCCTATCAACAGGGTTGCCCTAGGTAAGTAGCTTTCTGCATGGGATGATGAAAGTTTTGCCACTGTTGAAGAATAATATTAATTCTTATGAGAGATTACAAATGAGTAAAAGCTGATGAATAGGTGCAAATGCGTATGCAAGATTTTAGTACTTCTGAATTGACAGTTCTGGAAATTGAAGGCCTCTCTTTGCCAGGAAAGTTCTGTAGAGGAAACTATCACTGTAAAAACATGTGTGGTGCATCCCCAGTGTGACCTGGGGGGTATTCTGCAGGTAGCACCTCTGGGGTGGAGAGGGAGCCTGCTCAGTAAAACACTTGTGGATGTGATTCTCCAAGCATGTATGTGCTAGATTACTAACACATTTAAAATGTGTGCTTGGGATCTTTACATGGATGGTTACCTCCTCCCCCCGTCATAAAATGCCATTAGACCAATATTGTGCTTTATGTAAGACATTGAATGATCGCGTTACCTGTGTTTTTATGAGGAGTAACAGGGGGGAGGAAAGCAAGACCGGAGTCTTGCACCTTCTACTATGTGTCCCGCTGTTCTTTTAATAACTCATGCATTGTGTTGGTACAGAAAGCGGCTCCTAGTGAGAAGTAACAAGCTGAAATGGGATAGAAAATAGAGAAGCCAGGAGATTCTAATCCTTAAAGGCACACTGAAGGTAAGGGTGTGTACAGCAGCATGAATAGGAGCAGCAGTTATATACCCAAGCACCTCTGCATCGCACACAAATATAGCATGAAGAAGTAGCAGTAAGAAGCTACTTGGAAGAAAAATGCAGTTGTTCAATAGGGTAAAGTTTTAAGAATGCAAGATTTTTCTTCTTGCTTTGATTAGTTTTAAATTCCGTGGTTTTGTGTTTGAGGAAAAGGAAAATATTTACTTGTATAATTATAAAGATTTTTATGATTATTTTTTTCTCAACACTGTAAGTTTTGCTTCTTTGGAGCCTAAAGTACTTAGAAATTTTTCTGCCTTCATTGTCCAGTTGCAAATAACTCAGAATATGGCATGTGAGTTGTGGAGGTGTGGTTTATGGCCTGAGTAAAAACAGTATTTGAGTATAGGCATAATTTCAGGAATGTGGCTTACTTAGTTTAAATTCAGCAAAAATGTATTTGTACAAGTGCAGCACTCAGTTAGAAAGGTGAGATTTCAATGCAGCCAAAGTCCCATTTTTGAAGGTAGTGCATATAGTGCCCTGTTGACCTGCAGGGTGATTCAGGTGTCTAAGTCACTGTAATTAAAGGGAAAAATAGAAAAAAACCTGTTTTTCTAAGTTGTTGCATCGTTAAACATTGTCTGTTTTGAAGGCCTGCAGGGACTGTGGTGAGTGTAAGAGGTGTCTTCCAGAAGCTCCATAGACTGCAGGGTTTATGTGGATTCCTGTTTAAAGAATGGTAATGAGGACATTTTAAGTGGTTAACAGTAGCAGAAACTGGCTTCTCAAAGTCCTTGTATAGTTTTTCTTTTCTTTCTTAGCAGCAGGGATGTTGGTCAGGTTGGACCTCAGGAGGCCACCTCCATGCGCAGGGTTGGTCCTAGTAGCAGATCAGGTCAGCCATAGTGTTTTTCCAGTTGAGGCTTGAAAACCTTCATAAATGGAGGTACCAAAACCTATCTGTGCATCTTTTGGTTTCTTTTAGTGTGTTGTCTTTCTCTGATTATATTTCAGTTTGTGTTATGTTGCTGGTAAGTATATCTGTGTTCATTTTATGGTGCTTTCTGGTCTTTTTTTCCTGACTTGATGTAGTAGATCGATCATATGAATATATATAGGATCTTTGTTTATAGTTTACATGAAAAGGATGGCTTTAACCTAGTGGAGCTGATCCTTCATGACTCCCTTTGTTAACAGGGAGAGGCTAGCTCCTGCAGAAAGTATTGCAGAGAAAGAACTTCTGCCTTACTATTGACTGTAATAGAGACAACTTATCTCACATGGCTAAAGTTGCCCATGTGAGAGCAGAGCTTAAGACACAGGAGGTAAGCATTATGGGCCTGGTTTTGTACCTACTGCCATCAGGGCAGACCGCTGTTTGGTGTAGTCTGTTGATGCTAAAACCCTGAGGTGGTGACCCTTTGGAAGCTATAGCAGAAATGTGCATCCAGATGGGATTTCTAAAATTGCAGAGAGAAATTCAGCCGTCAGTATTCACTGGTGTTTGATGGGCTTGGGAACAGTTGTTTCCAAACTCAGCTGTTAACCCCCCCCCCAAGAAACCCTTTCAAAATATCTGACTGAAACACTGAGAGTTTTGCTATTAGTTTCCTTTATTTAGTGGGACAACATTTTGCTCTTTTTTTGCTGTTCAGAAAATGTGGAGTCTTTTCAGTGTCTTAATAGGTTTTGGTTCAGCCCCTTGTATAGTTTCCCATGTAGAGCTTTTGTTTGTTTGTTACAGCTTCAGCTTTGGAGAGCAATGAGTGGCGTGTTTCTGCGGAGCTGTGGACTTCTTTTATTGACTCAAACACACAGTTTAAAGAAAATGGGGATGGGTGTGTGTGGCCAAATGAAAGTATATTGTTTTTTATAAAGTGTCACCTGCAACGTGCTTTTAAATAAACCCCTATATAACCATGTATGGCTTTTTTTTTTTTTTGTTTTACTTGAAAGACACTATCTCCTTCTTCTAAACATTTGCACAGCAAAGCAATGCATTATTGCATTTTCATAAATAATTGAAAAGCAACTTAAAAGAAAGTAGGCCAACAGAAGAAAAAAAAAAGTAAGTGTTGGTTTCAAATTTGAGAGAAGAAAAATATGTTTCCTTCTTGATAGGAAGTCTGTTAAATGTTATTAAATCCCATTCTCCCACCCCTACATGACCAAAGACAAATCTGACAATTGACAGTTTCATTTCAAAGAAAGAGAAATGGGGGAAAATGTTTTGCAACACTGAGTCTGGTTTGCTTTGTTTCTTCTTTGTTTTAAATCCCCCCCCCCCCCCCCCCCCCTTGTAGGAAAGGAATTGTGACCCCTTATCAGTTTGCAAGTGACTGAGGATCAAGTCTCTGGAGGTCTGTGTGTTGGCTTTTCAGCACTGTTCTCCATGCTGGGCTGTAATAATGCAAGCTATTTTAGAACTGTGCATACGTTAGTGTTCTGGCGCAGCATGATACAATAATGTGTGAAAAAGCATAAGATCACACCTTGGTGAAACTTGCAGATTTCCTGCATAATCCGACAGTGAGCTCTTGTCAGGTTTTGACTATATGTAAAGTGAGAATAAAGTTTCCAGAAGCAAAGCGCAAGCCTTGGATGCATTTTGAATGGCTGTGGAGGGATTTTGGCCTTGACGTGGGTACGAATGTGCCTGACTCTAAGCACTTTAGTCCCACTCTAGCCAGTGGGCCTCCTTCAGCACTTAAAATTTGGCAAATGCTTTAAGCCCTTTGCCTAATTGAAGCTCTACTTTTGCAAGTTTTGAGAAAGATGAAAGAACCACTGTAAATAATTCCTTGAAAGACAATCATTAATATAAACAGTTTTCATGCAGCATACAGTGCAGTGTATCTGGTGACCGCACCAGGTGTCACGTGTGGGAATGGTTTGTGGCCATGGGTGTCTTCACCAGGGTGCTGGTACATTGGTACTGAGCTGGTGTGGCTGAGGGAAGAAGGGCAAGGCGAAAGCGAAAATGTGTTGTTGTAGATGTTCTCACAGCAAGATGAGGACCAGGGCTTTTATTCCAGCATGGGCTCTGCATGGGCTCTGGCCATCTATTAGTGCTATACCAGAAGTTACAGGTGCACTGTAGGAATTGCTGCGTGAGGTTCTTGTGTCCTAACAAGGCAGGTCCTAATAGTCCTTCCTGGCCTGGAGATGCAGAGGTCAGTGACTGCCAGTATTAATGTGTTGCTTAATGTGCTTTAAGATTAGACCTACTGAAAAAATAGACCCCAGTGAGGGGAAGCTTCACATAACTGATCTGTTCCCTGGAGGAAAAAATGTCAGCATGTGCATTCTCTTCTTCTTTCCTCCCAGATTTACTCCATCTCCTTTCATTTTTTATAACCAGCACGGCTGTATTTTAAGTTGCTGCCCACCATTTCCAAAATGTGTGATACATTTGTTAAGGATTTGGAATTTGGGATACTTTGATGTAACTTCATGTAGGCTTTATAGAAAAACCTGACGTGTATGTTTAGTTTCTAAACACCTTCTGTGCTTGATTTATCCTCACAGGTTGTCAAGGTAGTCAGATGACCTGAAACTGAGGAAGTGAGAGGGAGCTCAGCTGGCAAAAGTCTGACATTGAGTCTGACTGCGGCTCAGATTTGTTTTGCAGAGTTGAGCCCAGGCTGCGTAGGCAGTGAAGAAAGTCTTCTTCACCTTCACCATTGTATCCAAAAAACTCTGAGCAGCATCATTTTTTGCAGGTGATGAATAACCTAGTTAGCTCACATTGTTTCAATCCAGTGACAGTTCTCCCAGTTTGAGAAGGCATGGTGGCAATTTGTAATAGCATATTGATATTCAGGCTCAAAGGTAGAGGTGCTTTGATGGTTCTTTGGTTGGTTTTCTCAGCCAGAGAAACCACACTGTCAGCCATCTGTCATGGACCACCATGCACTGGTTACCTCTTTACATTAGATGTTACTGTTTAATATGGCTCAGCAGGTTGGCTTCCAGTGAAGCAGACTCACAACTTTTAACCTAGCTGGATATTTTCAAGGTCCCATGGCAATTCTGAGAGCAAGTACTGATAGGACAATGGGTAATGACTTTAAACTGAAAGAGATTTAGATTTAAATTAGATATAAGAAAGAACTTTACTGTGATGGTGGTGAGGCACTGGAATAGGTTGCCCAGAGAAGCTGTGTCTGCCCCATCCCTGGAAGTGTTCAAGGCCAGGCTGGACGGGGCTTGGAGCAACCTGGTCTTGTGGAAGGTGTCCCTGGCCGTGGCAGGGGGTTTGTAACTAGATGATCTTTAAGGTCCCTTCCAACCCAAACCATTGTATGATTGTAGGAATTATAATCACCAGAGGCATGCAGATCTTGAAATGAAATATGTGGAGGGTGCTCATAAAGCGTTGTCATTTTCTGTTGTCACAGAATTTTCTTTCCCTTTGGTTGTCCTGAGCAGTGTCTCCTAGGGCCTGTCTGTCCTGGGACATTTCCTGTATAAGTTGAAGGAGGGCTTTCTGGGCAGAAGACAGAGTCATTTTGTTGACACAGAAAAGTGTGCGTCATTGTTTGTGTTATTACTGTTTTGCATTTTTTGTATTTGTAAGAACAGCATATTGATGACTGCGTGTTAAAACTCTGTCTTTTAGTGGCCTCGTTTTCTTTCTGAAAAAGGAAGAAAGCTACATTCTTTCTAAGAAAAACACAATTATGTTGGAACAAGTACTAGTGCTGTGTTCATACATGATCAAATTCAGGAAGATTAGGGCACTGTGTATAAATTGCCTTCGTGTTCGTTAGGTTAGCAGCTGTCAAATAAGTGATTACAGACATTGGCATAGCTTTTCTTTCCATAATCACTGTGAAACAGGGATGGAAATGTAACAGATGCCATTTAATATGGACCAGCACCTAGGTTCTGTTGCTGGGTCTGGCTCTTTATTGCCTCGTGGCCAGAGTTTCTTAGCATCTTTTTTGATTTAATTTCTGACTAGTTATAAATGGAGATAATAGTATTCCCTCACTTTACAGGAGATTTCTAAGACTGTTTGTTAAATCATTTGAGATCCTTTGATGAAAGATACTAAGTACATGCAAAAGCAGTAATGATAAGATTAAATAGAATAATTCTATTGAGACTGAGGAAAATTATTGCTCCTAGATGAGTTTTGCTTTGCTGGATAGCGTCAACTTTCTGCAGGAAATAATTTGGTCTGAGACTGTGTTGGGTTTCATTTCCCGGGATTTTTTTATTTGTTAACTGGCAAGGCTTTTTGATACCAGGCACTCTGCTTGAAGTTCTGTTGAAGAGCAAATGAAGTGTTGTGATGCCATTTTTTGCAGCATAGGAGTCTATGGTGACTCATTTGGTGTTTGTAATGCCTGTGATAGATTAAAAAAACCCAAATCAGTTACTCCCAATGAGACGGATACACTCCGCCAGACCCTATTTGAGAATTATTTGCTGCACTGTTAAGACCAAAGTACACATCTTCCCCCTCCCCCCCGCCAAGAATCCAGCTTATCATGAAATGTTTATCAGAGCCATATAAACATTTCTTGACTGCTGAATTTTGAAGGGAAATTCCTTTGGTCTAACATATGTATTGCAAGCAAAACTCTTTACAGATTTAAAGAAAAAAATAATTAGCTTGGTTACAGCCCTACTGATTACCAAGCATGCCAGCATCTGGCAAGGGTACGGCGCTCTGGGAATTCACTGCTTGAAGCCATGGAACAAAGTGTTCTGGTCCAACCCCAGGCAGTGAGTCCAGGACTTGAACTGGAATCTTCAGGAGCAGAGAAGTCTTAAGTGTCTGGAAAATTGGCCTGTTGAGTCACCACACAGGCACTAAAACAAAACTAATTTTAAGCAGGTCAGAGTTCAGTGATTCCCTCTGGAATCTATTTTTTTTTTTCCTTAAAAAAAAAAAAAAAAGAAGTCTCATATTTTAAGTGAAAAGGGTCAAAGTTGATGCACTGCTACAATTTTTGAATGCTTTCCCTTAAGAACAGCCACCCAGGCTAGGATTAGCATGAAGGGCTGCTAGGCTGGCACTTCAGTGTCTGGGTTAAAAATATTTTAAAGCAGTAAATGCAGTGAGAACAGAGAGAGAGAGATCCCTGGGAGCCTTCCTATTCAAAAATGTGCGAGCTCAGGGCAGCAACTGCAATGTAATTTAGGGCAGTATATGCTTCATAGCTTTGGAGAATATTGCCTCTTGTTAATGTTACATTGGAGGACAGTGGGATAGTAGTAATTTTAGAAAGGTGGTATTCCTGTTTGTTTTATGTTGGAAACTTCAGAATAAATAAAAAGAAGCATCAATTGAGGAAGAAATGTAACCGCTGGAACTCAGCAATGAATCCACTTCCGAGCAGACTATAGAAATGACAGGGGAAAGTGGGTATAGAAACACTTTCATGGGAATGCAGCTGCCAAAGGAACTTAGCAGACAAAGGCAAAATCAGGTATGTACTTTAAAAAGCATGTGGGCAAACTTTTGTCTGAGAGCCCAGTGAGGAGCCTACTCACATTAAATTTACAGAATGTTTGGGGGGATCAGATGACAAAAGGCTTGTATTGCTTTTCCATTGCTGAAGAAGTGGGACTGTCTGTGAGCAGGGATGATTCAAATAGCTGTTAAAAAAAAAAACAACAATGCTTGCAAGAGTGAAGGAGTTTTTTCATTCCCATTCCTTTATTTAAGATTATTTCCTTCTTTTTTCCCTTTGGATCTTGCAGAGTTCCCTTTACATTTGCAAGTGAAAAGGACAGGGTCTAGGCTACCCGGGGAAGCTTGAATCTGAACTCTGTCAGGCATTGTGAGCTTGGTGATCTCTGTTTATCTCTTAGGAAATAGTCATGCTTGCACAATAGGGCAAATGCAATGTGCAGATGTCAGAACTGCTGAAACAAAGAGGGCTGTCTAGGAAAAACAATGCCAAACCT